ATTTTGTGGCCATCCAATTGTGTTGCTAAAGGAGCGTTTAGTTTGGCTAATGAACTAGTTCCCCGCTCGGTTGTGGGTGTTAATTGTATTGGCCGCGCCTCAATGATTTCCCACAACCACTATGACAGCGGGAACACAATGTTTCGTCAAGTGTAGAGAGCACGCGACTACAAGCGATCTGTGAAAGTCAACGCTGCACTTCATTATGACAAATTTACAGTTAATCAACGACACAAAAAAGCGTTGCGGAAAATATAGGGAAAAAGCGAACGGGGGAAAATGTGGAAAAAACGGGAGGGACGTTACACTCGGGTAAATATTGGAAATGAGCCACTAAATCATCCGTGTCTCTGTTTATCATACCCATATCCATATCCATGTAACCCCCTTCTCTCACTGTGGTGCCAAGTGAAAACCGAAAATGGCAAAAGCTGATAAAAAAGAAATGACAAACAACCCAATGCTGCCCCCAAAAGGTAACTGCCCAGAGTTCAACAAACCCGAAACGCAAAAAAATAAATAACAGTCCGAAAACAACAAGGCGCCAAAAATGGTATTCGGGATTGGAATACCCTTAAGGAAAAAACCACCAAAAAATTGGAAGTTAATTCGGAATTAATTTTTTAGTTCTTTTTTTTTAATTTTATTTAAATTTTAAACACCAATCTTACGCTTTACCTTTTAATCAATTGGAACTAATGTGAAACGGTTATAAAAAAAAACTTTATACTAATTAATTGTGTCAGTATACATTTTAAATAAATTAAACAGCAAATACATTTATCAAATTGAAAAGCTAAGTTTTCCCCAGCAAGAGTATTTAAAGGAAAGGAAATAAAATGCGTCAACTTAAGCAAAAGGACAACCAAATAAGCAAGAGAAAAGTGGTAAAGTGAGGGAGAGGCTGTGTTAATGCAGCTGCAACTTATCGTACATAAAATGCAATCAACGCATTACGAACACTTTCACTCTTGATAGCAATGCACAGTGCAACTATGGAGATTTCCAACCAATTTAGTACAAATTAAGCACCATATTAAACCCCAGTTAGAGATGTACATCCAAAGTATTTTCTGCGCAAGCTTGGCAAACAGTTTTTGTTGATTTATTAACCATTCTTTTAACGACATTTTAAATGGCTCCCCAAATAAATTCTTCATTGTTCGATTTGTTTATTTCCCAATCACGTAACGTTTACGTGTTTCTTGGCCTTATAAACACAAAGTCTTTCGGATCGAGTGATATCATCGCCGTTTGATCACGACCCACTGTGCGGCACGACTTTTGATGCACACAGTGTGCCGAGAGAGTTTTTGATATTCAAAAATCTTTGGCATGTGCATTAAAATGACAAAGAAATTAAAAACGAAATGAATAAAGAAAGCGATTTTAAGTGCCCAAGTAGCCTGCGCTCAAAATGCACTTGAAGACCTCCACAATGTTGATAAAAGCCAAGCTGCAGCAACATCCCCAAGAATTTTATTCGAAAAAGACAACAATAAGTGTGTTGTTTTTACTGTGAATGGGAACACACAGAAAAGCAGGAAAAAACAGCAGCAACCGAAAGACCTAATAAACGCAGCCAAATGAATTATGTGCCTGCCCATCAACTTTTGAAAACAGCAACATGCAATGCAACAAAGGCAGCACACAGCTGTGGCTAAGATAATAGCATCTATAAAGCCATAAATTTCGTGGAATATAAAGTACATATATGACCGATAACAAGCTATAAGCATGAAAAATCTGGACACCCAATATAATGCTTTTTAAATAGTGTTTCATATGCCCTCAAAACTGTAGAAGATTATGAGAAATTCGAGTGCGATATTTGCATTGAAGTGAATTTTTGTTATTAATTAAAGTGCAAAATGATTTTCCAATTAACAAATGTAGCTGCTGTGCGTTCGGTGATTCATAAAAATTATAAAAAAAGACTCAATACTAAAGTTTCTACCAGCATTGTTTATCAAGTATGCAAGCCCGATAAACCATAAAAACACATTGCATATCTCCTTCACATCGGGGCACTCAAAATGCGCGGCTTTGCGGCAATTAACACTGACACTCCCACGCAGAAACATAAACCGAAACAAAAACACCATAAGAATGAAAAAGAAACACAGAAACGAGAGACGAAAGAAAAGCAAAAGCAGTGCTTTGTATGTGGGTGTGGCAACTCTGTCTCACTTTTTGACATAAGCAAATGGCAACAATGCGATAAGTAATAATTCAACTCAGGATCCCTAACAAACTGAACCGAATGGGAATTCCAGTTAACTATAACAGTAATTATATTTTAAACACATAATGTTATAATGCAAATCCTGAAACAGTAACACGATTTTACCAAACAATTTCAACAGAGGGAAACCACGTTATTTTGTAATAATACTTAGTCACCAGATAACAATTTCAATAATATCAAACAAAGTCCCGGTGGGATAAACAAGTCTGTTTACTAGAATTTCAATATCGGAGCGTGCAACCTTCATTGAGGAAATAAAAAAATGCGGAATCGTTTTTCGTTTCGGTTTTTTTCTCATCTCAAGCTGTTTTATTAGTCATCGCAGCATCCAACAATAATAGAGCCAGAACGAAAGCAGATTTCAGCATTCAAGTGTCAATCAGTGCTGTGTTTGTTCCCCGCCCACACAACTCTCACCCATTAAATGCCGTTTGCCAGTATTTATCCTGATCTCGTTTGGAATCCGTTTCTTGCAAAACGGTTTGTTGGCCACGCAGATTCGTCGGAGTTCAGAGCACAATGGACCAGTATTGTTCGGTTGATTAAAGCTAAACACGCGTGCGACAGGAGCACTGCCTTTAATAGTGCACTCGGGAAAAAATGGAAGCCTAAGAAAAGAGTTGTATTTCAAAAAGTAATCTTTGCAATCTTTACCTAGGTGTATGGTATCGTGATTTTATTTATTTTTTTTTATAAAAATCAATTTTTACCATTCATAATTTTTTGTGGCTGCACATTACAAGAACTATTTTTTTATGCCTGCATAAGTTCCGTTCTTTCTCCTCCGTTGGCAATTGCAATCAAGCAAAGTCTTTTTTATGTCTTTCAGCATATACGGATTTTTATGGCCTGCACTTCGAAGCAATTGCAGCGTGGGCGTTTATTATTCCTCTCTTTTCGCTTTTGGAATTGCCGGGAATTACGAGCTCAGCGAAAAGCCAAATGCAAAGCGGGATACGAGAAGTCAGGCGAGCAAAAATCAGCAAGAAACAATTGTAAACTATTAACTGTGTGCATAAAATTGAACGAAAATTGCTCGACTCTGGCTGCCCCTTGAACCAAGGTGACGAGGAGGAGCATAGTGGGGCAAATAAAGGTATTTACTGCAAGTATTCCGAAAGCTATACAAATTTTCGTAAAAATCAAAATATCTCAAGAAATTGTGAGAGGCTTTTGTGAGAGGCTTTTGTGAGTGTCCCGCTCCTAACGCATTTTGGCCCACTGTGCGACTTGTCTTGGGCTTGAGAGCAGAGATCTGGGATCTGAATTGAAGCTGCGACCGAGAGCTGAGACGTAATTTTCACGCTCTCCCGGTGACGGGGCTTGTATGTGCCTTGGCCTGTGATTTTTATTTTTTTATTTTTAGTTTAAGCAGAAACTGGTTTTCCGTGGTATTCGCCCCTCCGCCCCCTCGAAAAAAGGGGTGGCAGCAGAGCGACTTTTACGTGGTGTCATGGTATGGAAATAAATGCACGTTATACGCTAACGTTATAGCGCTGGCCTTGCCCAAATATTATTCCCGCGAAATTCGCAAGAAATATTCGTCAAGTGAAAGACTGTTTGTTCTTTGTTTTATGCCATATTTATTTTGATTTTTTTTCTGGCGACTTTAGTTTGTTTAGCATTAGTCATTATGGTAGGGATAAGCAGCGACGTCGACTGCGGCATTGAACTTGCGCTTTTCGACGCATGCGCTGCTGTTTTTAATGATTTTCTTCTTGGTTTTTGCAGTTGCAAAGGGCACCACCCAAAAAGGGTTTATTTTGTAAATATTTGAGGCAAATTCTCCCAGTGCGATAAGACTTATTTGCTGACTTTATCAACGGGACTATCAGCCAAAGTGAAGTGTCTACAGTGGAATTTACTGATGGTGGGATTTTAGTTTATCTAAAAATTATTTCAGTTATCAGAAGTCTTTTCCATCAGTAAAAATCACTTTAAAGACAAGAACTTCAACACTTTGCCTTGCTTTACAAATCCTTTAAAGACTCATGTTATATTTGTCATCTAAATCTAAATCTATCTAAATCCAAATCTCTTAGCAGTCAATAAACTTGTTCTACGTGTATAATTTTTGCACTTTTTCGAGTGATGTTAGTAAACGTTTACAATGAGAAAAAGGTAATATATATATATTTTTTAAGTGCTTTTTGATAAGAACTCTCCACTGTGCGAGAGGGAGAGAGATAAGAGAGATGCGGGAAAGGGAAACTTGTTTGCTGGTCCCCCTCCACCCACAACTACGCACGCGCCCCCTCTCCCACGAACATGCATTTAACCGTTAGCTGGCGATGCTTTGTCTCTACTTCTCCCGCTCGTCATGGTTTTCCCAGGGGCGGATCAAGGGAAGATGCGGGGAGAAAGGACTAGATAAATTTCCCCCCACATTGTTTATTTTGTTATCAATGTATTATCAATAAAACGATATTAGAACCCTACTAGATATAACTTTAAATCCGCTCCTGTACTTCTCCTGCTCCTTCTTTTCATTCTTCCTCTTCTTTGTCCACTTCATGGGGGGTTGCTTTGCACTGTTGAAGGCCAGCGTTGCTGCCGGCGTCGCTGTCGGCTTCGCTGCTCCCCATTGTCAACGCCGACGCCCACATGCACCGCTTAACGGTTTTGCTCCTGCTCTTCATGCGTATGTGTGTGTGAGTCATTCAATTTGAATTTTTATAAATTTGCCACCTTTTTCTTATTGATTCAACATTGCCCAACTATTATTTATTTCTTCACGCCTTTTCTTACTCACCTCTATGAATTTCTCCTTGATCTCGGCCTTTTCATCAATGGACAAAGTTTTTGTGAATTTGTTTAGTGTTGCCATTTTCGTTGTGTGCTTTTCTTCTTAACTTTCTTAATTATTTATAACTGACTGCCGCCGTTGATTGGTTATTATTTTAAATAAATTATGCGTTTATTATCAATTTCACTTTGTCGCCGTTTTCGCAGTCGGCGTTTTTTCTTGTATGCTCCTCTTTTTATTTGTCGCGCGCTCCTTTTTTAATATGTATCTTTTTGTTTGTGCGTTTTGAATAAATTTCTCGAGTTTAATAAATATTTCTAAAATTTGCACTCACACACTTGCGTTTTTATTCGTGGTTTGTTTGTTACTGGCTTCTTACCAAAAAAAAAAAGTTTAACATAAGTAACTATGTTTATTTACAATTTCAAGCGTTTTTCCGTTCTGTTTTTACGATCAGTGTGGCGTCTAAACTCATAATCGGCCGGCTACTGTGCGTGCGAAGCGTTTCTGTTAACAATATTTAACACTTTTGTTAAGGCGACGCGACGAAGTGGAGAACACAACAACCAGTGTGACCAGATACGGAAATGGATTTACTCTCAAGTGCGAGGTTTAGTCAGCTATCGATAAGCCGTACTAGGGTTTCCAGGTATCAGCTCATCTTCTCCACAGATGGCTCAGCATTTCCCCCTAGATTCAAACCTTTTCGCCTTAAAATGAAAAGTAATATCCCGCGAAGGTATAAATACTTTCGAAGCAACCTATCAAAACCTTTATCTTATGTACCTAAGTACAATTCAGCCCTCATCATTGATTATAATTTGAGTAATGAAAATTTACAGTCAAATTTTTTCTGGATTTGGGTATTTTAATCATGGACATGTCAAACAAAACTAGCAGGAAAATTATTTGATGATCTTATGCTAAAATGTTGTCAATAGAGCTATGCCTAAATATTTATTTCCCCTTAAAGTCCCACTAAATATATCGTCCCCCCAAAAGTCCCCCTTAAAAGCTAACAAACCCCCAAATTTAGGGCAAAACGCCCTAACCTGGCAACTCTAAGCCACACTCTTAAGCCGAGCAGTGTGCCCAGTAATTTCGCTTTCGACCGTAAATAATACCAACGGTATAGCCAGACTTTTTCGTTGGTTTTTTTAAATATAAAGCCTGCGGTCACTCTTAGTTAACAAAAAAAAAAACGGCCTGGTCACACTGTGCGGTCCAGAATTGTTGCCTTTTTATTTTATTCCCGCACTTCTTCGCCAACTAGCCGCTTTCTTTCGGCCTTGTTTAAAGACATAGGTCACGCCAGCAGCCGCCGCAAGCCGGAACGCCCCCGTCCCGCCCCCTTGGTCGAGGTGACCGTCGCTGTTGTTGTTTTCGTCGCCCTTAAAAACCAGCTGCTGCATCTGTGTGTGCGTGGGTGCTCCTCCGTCCGTGTGTGAGTATTCCAATCTGTGTATGCGTTAATGTGTGTACAAGTGCTTAAACAACAACAAAAGCGTAAAACGCATTTTCATTTGATTGCGATTTTGATTTGAAACATTAATTACAGAAAGAAAGGGAGAGAAAGCAAACAAAGGACCTAACGCGAGAGAGAAAGAGAGCGAGAGATAGCAAAATGGATGTGGAGGAGAATTACGAAAACGCCGCCGAGATGCAGAACATAAATATGAACTTGAGTCCGAATCAGAATCCAAATGCGGATAGCCAGCAGCAGCAACAGCAGATGCAGTGTGAACCGTTGTTCGGTCTCACAACCAATACAACAACAACAACAAATCCAATGATGGCCATACCCCTGCCCGCGCCCCCCGGAATGCTGCCCTATTCCACTCCGAACATCAGTCCGAATTCGAATTTGAGCGTAAATCAAAATCCCAATTCGAATCTAAGTCCCAGTCCATCCGCGAACGCATCCGCCGCCAACGCATCCGCATCCGCCATCAAGGGTCTGCCCACAAATGACTTCGATATCGATTCCCTGCTGCTGCAACAGTTTAGCTGCATGGGCACCACGGATCACGAGGACCTCATCAGCCAGTTCCAGAGCCTCATGAACAACCAGATGAACCGGGAATCAGCCAGGTTTTACCTGGAGATGAGCAACTGGTAAGATATGACCAATAACAGGGATTTCCTTGTATTTCGGAGTGAATGACTATTGTGTTTCGGAGTTACTACATATTTTTTCAAACCTTATTTTAGGGTTTGGTTTTAATTTAAATTGTACAAAGTTTGTGAGTGACCTTTGATAATGAATGTTTATTCTTTGATCATTCAAGTTCGGACTGATTAGACTATAGATTTCTTGTAGATAAACGATAATGTTAATGCATTTTATTAATCACTATTTATCGCCTCTTTTAGGAGCCTGCAGACGGCGGTAGGCTGCTACCTGGACTTTTGCAGCCTACAGTCCCTGCCCTCGATGAAAATCGTCCAGGGAAAGCACCTAAATGCCCAGCAGCAGGCCTTCCAGCTGCAGAACGACGGCACCGAGCGATGGCCGAACAACTGCTATCTGACCTCGCCCATCCAAACGCAGCGCATCAATGTGCCCGCTCTGCGTCCGGGTGAAACATGTGATATCCTGGCCGATCTGATGCCCACACAGCCGCCGATTTTGTGGCGGCTGTGCACTCCCAATGGCTGGTACTTTGGCGGTGAGCAAGAGACAGCCCTCGATCTTAGATCTAGATTCGCACAATAAGCTAAAAATCATTGAACTTACGATGCTTTACGCATTTGAGAACCGATTGCTAATGTCACATTTGTATCCCCTTTTTGCAACCCAAATACAGATGCCATTTGGATGATACCGCCGGGAACGCAGGCCAGCCAGGACGAGCTGCAGCAGCGGATGGTGCAGCTGATCACGTCGGAGGCCAAGCCGGATGTCTATCCGCAGATCAACATCGTGATAACCGCACACACACAATGAACGCGGTGTGTCCAGCGTCCAGCATTCGGCATCCTCCTCCGTTTTCGAGCGGGGTCCTCGGTCCCAAAACTCATCGATAGCATTTCATACACCTAAACCCCTGCGCGAATGTAACTTTTACGATATGACTAGACTCTCCCCTCTTCCCCTTTCTTGAATAGGCTTAAAATTGTTCTTAGTAGTGGATTTGTATACAGACAGGATCAAAAAGCGGAAAACTTTTATACACTTGACGCCGTGCATGTTTCGGAGTATATAGTAGCCAACGCCATTCACGTGTACTATACAATATATAATTGATATATATATAGACCTATAGATATACCTACACAGACCCACGTTTAACTAGAGTTTGAGTTTCGATTGCGAGCTCCTTCGTTGCTCCTCCCACTTTTATCCCCTCCTTCATTTGGTGTCAGACGGATCAGCTTTATATATATATATCGATATATTGGGAAGGGGGCGAAGGGCCGGCGCGGTGAAAAGAGAGAAGTGAAAGTAAAAGTAAAAGTAAAAGTGAGAATCAGAATCGTGTGGCCACATTATGTTCTTCTGTTAGTTCTTAGGCGGTAAAGTTGTGTGTGCGTGCGATTGTTTAATGCATAATGATATATTTTTTTCTATAATTTAAATTCCTATTTTCTTAGTAACCGAAAAACATGATTAAGCAGAAAACAGAAAACCTTGTAACAAAATTAGAAATAAGTGTTTTATTGAGCAAAACAAGAAAGAAGTGGAACGAATGAAAAAGTTGTCTTTTATTTTGCGGGCGGCGAATTGCTAAAAAAAAACGATAAGGGATTGCATACTTTTTTTTAACTCGCATATTTATAGTTTTTAAAATCACCTACAAAAAATCAATTCTTGTTCTATCGAGAACAATCGACTAATTAGATATTTCTGTAAAAAGTTTCTATTTAAAATAATTTACGAATAGGTAAATATTTCTATAATTACTGACTATAAAAATTGGCACGTGTAAAATTCATAAATATTTCACACTAATTTCTCAACTGTTAAATTGTTATTGGCAGCACTGTTTTATATTTTCCTATTGGAGTGGCAGCACTCTGGTTTAGTCATTCCCACAAAACATTCGGTTTGAAAAAGACCGCCACAAGTGCCATTCACAGTAAACAAATATTTTTGTTGAACTGAAACTTAAAATAAATCCAACAAATAAAAATCAAATTTGAATTCAAATCAGAACGTGAGCTAATTTCAAAAGAAACAAAATTACTTTTCGCTGTCGTTGAGTTGATTTATTATTTTGATCACATTATGAAATCCGATTACCAGGCACATTACTTATGCCTGCGACTATTTCCACGCCCTGGCTCTTCTCCTTTTGCCGCTGCTGTTTTTGCATGAAAATTGTAATTGAGTCAAAAATGCAAAAATACAAAGTACACAATTACACACACACACACACACACACATTGGCATACAGATGGGATCAAGGGTCGTTCGTGCGTTGGCACGGAAATGAAATGCATTGAAACGGAAAAGAAAATTATAATCCGTCGAGGAATAACAGCAGCAACAACAGCAAGGACAGCACGTCTGCAAAGAATCTGCAGTTCGAATAAAAAAATACCCTTCATAAAACTAGAATTTTTTCGAAATTAAAAATAAATCTCAAGTAAACCTCAAAGTAAGCGATAGAAGGTATGACACTTTGGATTTGATTAAAAATTGATAAAGTTGCGGGCTCTAGAACTTAATGTTTGGGTTTCTTTTCTTCAAATGTTGGTATATTTTCAAACATTTTGCATACAAATTAGTCAAAAAATCGACTGAATGTTGCTGATAAAATAAATCAAAAACATCAAGAGATATGCCAGCTTGGAATGGGAACAAAATTGGTTTAAACATCTGGAATCCCACTATAGTGTACTCGATTTCGGATAGCGAACGAACTTTTTCGAAGGGTACTTCCTGCGACAACAACAATGGCAGCAACAACATCGACTGCCTTTTGACTTGAATTACAAATGGCGCACATGCAACGAGCACTGAAGCGGAGGGGGACTTAGGAATATGCGAATATATGGGGTGTTGGGTGTTGGGTGTTGGGTGGAGGTCCTTCGGGCTCCCTTCGAGCGGTACGAAAGGGAAGATGAGCGGATTGGGACCCCGTCATGTCATGGACAATCAAATCAAAAAGGCGTCAAAGCACAAGTCCTCTGTCGCCATCTCGCTCACAACCCCCTCACAGCCCGATTTGCCATCCCACTCCCGCACAAATTGCGCGTTTTCTCGTTTCATGTAACATTGTAAAATTGCATTTGCGCCTTCAGTCGCCTTCCGTCCTGCCCCCTAATGTCCCTATCCATCCACCAGCCGCATCCTCGTGTCCCCCTATTTACTTGTTGTTGCTCGCAAATTCAGATTATGATTTGATTGGCAAACAAGGGTCGGGGCTTTTGGGTCCTGGACGCGCTGCCCTGGCCTATTTGATATTCATAGATTGGGAATTACAAGCAGCCATTGGCAATTGTCAACAGTCTTTTACACACTCAACTCAACCAGTGGCGTTCGTAACGGAAGTTTTGGGGGGTACAACATAAGCAGCTTCCATATTTATAAGAAAGAAATCTAAGTTCTATATTCAAAGCAATATTTTAAGTACATTTAACCTATAACAACTGCTTAATTAAACAATCAGATGAGTTTTACTTACTCGGAGTTTTCTGTGATCCCCTTTTGGCCTGAAAACCCATTCGTACGCCCCTGTCTTCGCCCATTGGCACTCACACAGGGGCACGTGCTGATGTCAAGTTGTTACAACGCCGGCAATTTGTTTGTTCATTTCGTTTCGTTTCATTTGTTTTTGCCCTCGCCGGATTTTCATCGCCGGGAAAAGTGCGAGCGACGGAGGGCGTGTCAATTGGAAAAGCAAATAAGATGAAAGCAGCCCAGCGTTTCCCGCTGGGGGTTGAGTCGATGTGGGCCAACTATTCCTCATAGGCCTGTCTTTCATATGCGAAAATTGTATAAATAAAAAAGGTAAATATTAGTTTAAGGGTTAATAAAACTACAATTATAACCAGAACAGAAAACTTGTCAAGTGCCTGTTGCGATTGCATTTAAACGATTACCCAATGTAAATGTTAGAAACCTGAGAATCCCTAAGGTCTTAAAATCTAGTTTATTGTTTGAACTCTTGCTTAAGCCCTAAGTCGCATTCCAGTCGAGTTAACTCCCTTCGACATCCCCGCCTCGCGCCAAACTGAACTGAGCCCATTAAATGCATAAAACAATTGCCAGACAGTTTGACGCTGTTGGGCAACCTCGAAATGCAGTTTCAAACCCAGCTTACTGCTCTAAAATACACAGAAAAAAAATACTGATTGAATAAATAAAAATGTAATTCATCGGTGTACTCATGTAAATTTATACAAACAGAAGAAAGCTTCATTTTCATGATTCAAAATGTAATCGAATAACAACAATAAAGTAATAAAATCTAGCTATATTCATTTCAAACTTTAAATTAAATTTCTTTAATCGTTTTCCTCGTGTTGATTTAGGCCCAGTTTTGGAGCGATTCAACTCGGCTCGATCCGATTCGTTGCGATTCGATTCAGTTCGATTCGATTCGATTCGATTCCGTCCGTTCTGTCCCGTTTGGTGGTCGATTTTTATGAGCGCCGCGCGTTGACAGCTTAAAAGTCTCTTAGCATGAAAAATATTGTCAACGCCAAATGGCGATATTCTTGGCCGTTGTTTTGGATTGTGGGTTGCTGGCAAAGGAAAACTCTCTGACCGCTGATGTGTGGCGGCGATAAGATTTTGATAGGGGCACCGATTTATGCGAGGCAGCCAGCCAGGACTTTTAACTTATCGCTGAAAACTGACAATCAAACGTATCGGCTGCCACGGCATTAGGGGCACTCATAATTACCTCACTCAAATCACTAAAGTCCAAATCGAAGGAGGAGTGAAAAAAAGACTGAACTGAGAAAACTGAAGCGAAGTGAAGACCTCGAGATCGGAGCGAGTAAATTAATTTCACAAATTGTGCGGCGATAAATTCGATTTGAGATACTAACTCTAACCCGTTGGCGTTGGTTGGCCTTTTAAACAAACATTTGTACTTTTATTTTATGCCATATTTAAACTGATTTAATTTGATGCCCGGTCTCGCCTTTCGATTGGGTTTTTTATGCATATTGCCCGGCTGGTCTATGGGTCTATGGGAATTAACATAAAACTTCAAGTTACCCCGCCCGGGGAAAACTCTTTCAGTCTCATTTCTCGCCTTTATTTGTCGCTCTTTTTGTACGATTTTGTTTGTGGGCCTTTGTTCGGCCATCATGATATATAACGACCGATAACGCCTAATCGCCCCAATGCGAGCATATATCATTCGGAGCTGTTTTACTTTAAAACAATCTTGGGAGGTGCCATCCTAAGTAAGTGAATGATTTTGAGTGAAACATATTTCATCTTGGAGGTAAGTTCATTTACATTCGGAAATCATTTTGAAAAATTTCACTTCCTTTCGTATTCAGAATATTAAAGAGTAATATACTCTTATACATAACTCAAGAATCGTTAATAGCAAGCCAGTTGAAAAAGTGACGATTTAATAGCAACTTCCTTTCGAAAGCTATACAATCTAAACCAATTAGTCTGGCCAAGATATCAACTCCTCGATCTGCCCAATTGAGGGGCTCGAAATATTTCCCTAATTTATCTCCTCAATGAATTCTCGAAAAATGCTTACGAGTTTCATCGGGGGGCTCCTAACGAGGGTCGATGCGATGGTCAAACGTCAATATTATTAAATATAAATGCAACGAGAATAACAACGGCACACAATTCCCGAGGATGGCTGATGAAAAGAGCCGCGGTGGCTGCTGTTTTTTTTACTTATATTTATTTTTTGTATATTTGCCGTGGGTTTTAAATGCGGACGCGACATTGCGTGATGAACAAACGTCGAGCATTTCTCAATGGGATCAACGCAGTGGTCTTTTGTGGGGATAGGGATGCCAAAAGCCGAAACCCGAAATGAAATGACATGACGTGTTGTTATTAAGCCGCATAATCAAAACAATAACAAAGCCCAAACTTTTATGAATGAACAGGCGGAGGAGCGGAGAATTTTGTCTGCTTGGCCTACTAGAGTTTATTTCGATACTTCGGGCCACTCCTTGATCGATAGGAACAGTGATCCTTACATCAATATCATATAGAAAAAAGTGCATATTAAACTCAAAACGAAACAACAAAATAGTATTTTTTTTATAATGCCATATTTTTTCAAAGAACTCTCTATTATTTAAGTTTAAATAAGCAACTACTAAACTTATTAGTTTATTAACTTCCAAAGAGGATCGTGCATGTTCCTAAATATTCCGAAAATGTGCAACCAAAAAATCTGTATACTTTTACTAATAGAATATCGATCGTTTAGATCGCAACCTGCCCACCAAAATAGATCCCAACCACTGTGCATCTTGGTAGGAGCCATCGAATCGACGTCGGCAGCTTCAAGGCGATTAGCGAAAAGCGGTAAATGTTGTGTTAAACCTCAATTAAGAACCAGCGGGGGAAACTGTTGAGGTGATCTGGGAGACCTGGAGAAGTGGCGACGTGGGACGAGGCGATCCCAGCCAGGTAGACGATGCCAACAGGATGTTAAACTCTTTCGGGCAATTTGAATTCGCTTTGACTGACGCCACACGCCAGGGTCACTTCAGAGGATTTATAATACGATCCCCCCGCTGGATCCGAGCTGCTAAATGATCTCACACAGGCGACGACGACGACGACGTCGAATGGCGCCTAGAAGGAGCGGGTTAAATCGCTGGATCTCCACATGTGTATTATGGTATGAACGGCTTGCCTCCTCCGTATTTCCCCGTTTCCCCTGTTTTCCCAGCTTCCCTGCTTTGTATCCCCGCCTCACGATTTGGACCCCTGTTAAGTGCTTTTTAATTTGTTTGCATTCGAAATCCGAATTCCCTGTGTTCCGCTTTTATCGGGAATCAAGTGAGCTGAGTGCAATTACGACACCTTCAAAAAGCCAGCCCAGGATGCCAGGATGCCAGGATGCGAAGGGGAAGCGGAGGATACTACTACTCATCCTCAAGGCACTTAAGCGCATCCCCAGGGGGTTGATTCCGCCCCCTTTCCACCCACTTTTCAGCCACTTTCCACCCGCTTTCCACCCGCTCTCCATTCGCTCTCCATTCGCTCTCCACCCGCTTTTCACCCACTTCCCATCACAATCTGTGGGTGGTGAGTGGCGAATGGCTAATTAAAATTACTTTCCACGGCGACACTCAGATATTTGAGGGGGGAATCGGGGGATCGGGGTCGGGGGTCACCGTTAATGGTCAGCTGGTCAGTTTGCAGCCACTCTTAATGAGCGTCCCCAGTCATTTGCTTGGGAACGAGACCTTCTCGCACCGCCAACTACGTATTTGTCATTTTTAATGTCTTTTTAAACCACGCGAAAGGTGAACCACACTCGCAGCACTTCGGGCTTAATGGCTTTCAAGTGGACTTTGGCCATCCTATCTGAACTGGACCTCAAACATGAATAGAGTTCTGAAAGTTGGTACTCGAATTGAATTACTCAAATGGAAAGATCTGTGAAGATATAGGGATTATAGGCTCAATTTTAACGGTGATATTGTAATCCGAATTGGTGGTTGCATTGCTGTTTCAGATTTTGAATTTGGTTCTTCGAAATTTCTACGTGAAATCTTCCCTTAGTTAGAGTATTATTGTGTCGCACTTAGAGCTCCATAAAATTTCCACCGAGCTCATCTTTAATTAACTTATTTCACTGCTGTGTATTATATTTCGCTTTGTACTCGGTGAACGAGCGGCAAGTGCCGTTAGTTGGACCCCGACAAAATGGCGGACCCAGTAGGAAAATGAAAATACGTCGAATATCCGTGTGATTTCGGGTGCCTCTGTGTGCGGGAGAGTGGCGAAAGTCAAGTTGCCTCATTAGCAGGCAAAGGGAATGCCTAAAGATAAATTATTGTCACATTTTTACGCGAATCTCATTAATGGGGGGTGGTGGCATTTCAACATAGAGAGAGAGAGCTGTGACAGATGAGGAAATTACTTCAAGATGATGGGCTTAGGGGAATTCCAATTAAAATTAAAACACGTGCAGTAAATGCCTAATTATATTAAATTTACATAATCCCAGGATACATCCTTTTGGTGTGGATAAAAGTATATCATTTGCTGTAATCAAATAAATTTAAATAAATTTTTTTTTTTTGGATATGAAATTGAACAACCTAAAGATATTTCTTTAGCTTTTTTTGTAATTATATATATTTAATTTATATTCTATTTTTAATTATAAACTTTTTATTTGAAAAAGATTTTGTGATTTCTAAATATATTTACTTTTGAGTGTTGTGGTATTATTATATTATAATAGATCCTATAGGCCTTCTCTTTGGTAAATTGGCACTTTAAAACAAATTGCAGGGGGCTTCACCGATCCCGGTCACGTCTCCATTTTCCGGCCGCAGCTCGATCGTTTGTCAGGTCGTAAATGCTTGGGATATATCTATGGTTAAGTGCATATTCGCAGAATCGTTTGGCGGCAGGAACTGGGGGAAATACCGATGGCAAATAATTCCCGACAATTGCTGCCGTGGAGCCATTTTGAAAAGCTAACCATACACAGTCGTGTGGAGCAGTTGGAGCATCCGCCTCCAGGCGCCAAAGACAGCCTCCTCGAGCAGCTCCTGCCCACCGAAGCAATCCATCCACACATCCACACACGATACACATACGTATGCCCCCACCGAAAAAAAGAGCTCCCCTTTTGCCCCCCTTGAGACCCATTCACTTGCACATTAGGCAGCAAATTGACATCGATACAAGTCCAAGAAGTAAACCGAAAGTGGCTGAAAAGAGAGGGCAATAGCACGTGCGACAGAGAGGGAAGCGTGCGGCATTTAACTGCTGCCAATTTACTGTTTAAATGCCAAACAAAAAGTGTTAACAAGCGCAAAAATAACAAAAGACACCAACAACAAAGTCTGCAGAGCGAGAGGACCCGAGGCGAACCAAGTGCGGCCAGGCCTTGAGTGAGAGCAAGACAGACAGATGCCCTCGCAGCGGGCCTCTCGCTCACGGAACCAGTTTAAGGGGGCGTGGCTTGGGCCACAAAACAGGGTTGACAGCATCCCATCCATCCATCCATCTTGCAATCCGGCTATCTGTCCATCAGATACGGAGGCGAAGGCAGCAGCTGCCCCGCTGCCATAATCGTGTTGAGTTCGCGTTCACAGCTGCCATAAAAAGTTTATGGCAAGTCATATTCGGAAGAGGAAAAATGCGGAAACTAAACCATCCGAACTGGGCTTTTACTGGGGATGACTTCTTGAAATTCGGTGCTCGGGAGGTATTGATAAAATGCGTTGTTTTAGTTATGGATTTTGGCATATATGTTTAGCAATTTAAAAAATGTTAAGCTGCTCAAACTTAACCTAGATTACACTAAACGCAATTAAAAAAAATAAATTTAAATATTTTTTCAATTAAATTTATGCAAGCATCATCATGAGGTCACAATTTCGAAGTCTTACATCCTTTAACTCCTATTTGAAATATTTTTAAATTACACACTTTACCACTTCATCCCTAAACTTTTATTTAACCCCTTTATGCTATTAAGGAGGTGCTGAATTTATTAATTATGAAATGAATGGTAAAAAAGGGAGAGAAAAAATACCTTTGCTTTTATGTACATCTTGTTTTACTTTTAAATGATATCCAAATCACTCAACAAAAGAACCTTAGGTGTACAATAGGCTACTTCTTAATAGGTATTACTTCAAATGGCCAAGTCCACCACGTGCTATAAAAACAACCGTTAGACGTGCGGCCATTGCCAGTGGAAAAGTCACCACAGTCGCAAACTTGAGGGCCGCTGATTGAAGCCTAATGAATGTCAATTGCTGCCAATTACGACCAATAAATGCGGGCAATATACACGGCCAGCAGTGAGTGCGAGCGAGAGGGCTGCGCGGGACGAAAGAGAGGGAAACCCACCACACCGCCACTTGGCCAAGTCAGTGGGCGAGAAAGAGACGACGACAGGTGGCAGCTGATAAAAAGTTGTGGCTCAACTGGTTTTTGCCGTCTGTTTGTTGCTGGTGTTGTTGTTACTGCTGCTGTTGCTGCTGCTGTTGTTGCTGTTGTTGCTGCTGCTGCTGTTGCTGCTGGCAGTTGCTGTTGCTGGCAGCAAGTTTCAGTTTCGGTCGAAAGCCAAAGGCGAGCGGTTGTTGCTCCCGCTTCTCAAAACACCAACAGTGCGCGCACAGCAGCAACATTTGCGTTAAAAACTCAAGTTGAGCTTCGAAAACTCGAAGAACTAGAAACCTTAATCCAATCATAAACTAATCAGTCACAAAAGTGACAGCTGCAACATAATCTATTAAAAAAAAAAAAAAAGAAACCAACAACAAAGTGCTAGAAACTCGTGTTCCCATACACAAGATACAATTATTTTTTTCGGGTGCAAAGTGCAGGTGGAGCAGCAGCAGCAGCAGCGGTGTCTCGTCGGCCAACCACACATGACCACAATGCCACCGGAAATGTCCGCAACAACGGCAGCTCCCGTTGGCAGTGCACCGAGTGCCACCGCTCATCATAATCCCGCTGCCGTCGGCGGCGGCGGTATGCCGCGTCCAGCTTCCCCGGCCGTCGGCAGCAACAACACGACGGCGGCAACGGCGACGACGGCAACGCGATCCCGCTTCATGATCACCGATATTCTCGCAGGAGCAGCGGCTGCATCCGCGGCAGCAGCAGCAGCGGCCGCCGCCTTGGCAGCCGCCTCTTCGGGCGGTGGGCGTGGCAGTCCGCCGGATTCGGAGCGGGACGAATCGATCGTTGCCCAGCATCAGCATCCGCATCAGCAGCAACATCACAATCACCATCAGCAACAGCAACAGCAGCAGCAGCAGCATCAACAGCAGCAACATCAGCAGCAGGCCGCCTTGCAACAGTACATCGTGCAACAGCAGCAACTGCTGCGCTTTGAGCGTGAGAGGGAAAGGGAGAGGGAGAGGGAGCGGGAGCGGGAGCATTATAGGGAAAGGCATTCGCCACCGGGAGGCAATCTCTACTCGCACCACAGCATGCCGCCCCATCTGCTCGCCCACTTTCCGCCCGCCCACTACGCCGTGTTGCAGCAACAACAGCAGCAACAGCAGCAACAGCAGCAGCAGCAACATCCCCACCATCTGCAAATGGAGCGGGAGCGATTGGAGGCACTGCATCGACATGGTCATGGGCTGCCCGGTGATCCGGGGCAGCATCTGAACCACCTGAGCCATCTAAGCCACCAGCAACACCACCTCCCACATCTGCACCATCCCATCCACGATGAGCGATCCCGGTCGCCGCTCATGCTCCAGCAATTGGGCAATGCCAGTGGCAATAACAACAACAATAACAACAACAACAATAGCAGCAGTGCTAACAACAACAATAACAACAGTGGCAGTGGCAACAGCAACATCAACAGCGGTGGCAACAGCAACAACAATGGCAGTGGCAACGGCAACATGTTGCTCGGAGGAGCCGGCAGCAGCATCAGCGGCGATCAGGCGAGCACAATCGACGACAGCGATAGCGATGATTGCGGTAAGTGGGGTTTATCCTTGTACCTTATATACCTTATACGATAATTTAGTGGGATTACTAAAGGAAAATCATACAACTAACCATAAAACAGAAAGGAAATATTAGTTTAAAAGTCACTTCAAAACTAATAGTAATAAACTAATAATAATAAAATATATATGCAATTATACTTTCCATTATAAATATCGAAACAGCTCTTCTTTCTCTGATCTTTAATTATTTGTATGTATTATAGTAGTGTTTCATTTTCGGCTCCCAATACAATACGGTTTCTATTAATTTTTGAACCACCGTGAAAAGTGGAGGCAATCCCGAAACCAATTTACACCTTTCCACCAACTGACCCCTGACTTCGCACCACTTTAAATTTACGATTTTTCCCCACGACCGAGATATATCATATATTGAGTGCTAAGCGTGGTTGTTTCTGTTGTCGTTCCTCGATTTTGTTGTGGCTGTTGGCTAATAGATAACGGCCAGCAACAACCACAAGAACAACAACAGCAACCACCGCAGCAACAACAACCACCATAAATTGTGTGGCTCGAACGGGGAAAATGCTCGGTTGATAGGCGAAGACTCGAAAATACAGGTGAGTCTCAGGCTGAGGCTGAGGCAGGTGTCTCTGGATCCGTCCACCTCTTCTCTTCTCTTCTCCTCCTTCCTCTTCCTCTTCCTCTTCTCTCCTCCTCCTTCTTTCCCTCCTCTTAGCAGTCCCCTTCTTCTCGGCCAGATTAGCCAAGTGTTCGCTTATTTTCAGCTTATGGCCCAGTCGAAACTGTCAACGGAATACCCTTGATAGCCACGCCCCCCGCGCCGCCTCCCTCGTTTCGCATGCAACAATTTAATTGATTTCGCAGCTAGTTTTAATTTAGCTTTTTCCCTCTCGTTAAGCGCTTTTAAACGTTATGCAAATTATGACAAATTACTATTAAATACCCGTAATCGTGCGTTTTCCATTGATTTGCTGCAATATTTGAAAGGCCATGAACGAGTATGTATTTATTCTGAACAGAAAATAGATAATATTCCGTATTTATTTCAATTTAAATTTTGGAAGCTTCTAAATTATTTTTGTATAAAAAAGGAAAACACCTAATTCCAGTTATTTTAGTAATTGTTCTCTATTCAACTGTGTTTTTAATCATAAACTATGAGCCCCTGACAAATTTTGTTTCAATCAAAGCTTCCCCAATTTCATGGGCAATTTTCACATTTATTTTTTTTGACCTGTGCCAAAATCAATTAACAAATTAAACTATAACCAAAATGCGGAGGTTTCTCCCTCCAAGTGACCCCCTTCGGTTTCGACTTCCCGCTGTCAATTTTTCCAAATGAAATTGCCTTGATTTGAGCCACAAGCCAAGTGGAGCCACACACACGCAAATGAATATACATAAATGAAACTAAAGAAATCAAAATTAAATTTAATCTGCTGGCTGGGCAGTCGAACAACCCACACACAGTCCCAACAAAATAAACAGCCATTGACATTCACGCTTTCTCTGTCCCTCTCATTTGGGGAGCCCACGCTGTGAAAAGCAACAAAGGCAGAGGGATACCGTAAGAAAAGGAAGGGTGCTCCCAAATCTCAAATAGTTTTCAAATCCACAGGGTTTTCGTCTGTTTCAGATTCAGATTGAAATTACAAATTTTTAGGTTTAGATAGCTTATTTTTGGGAATTCTCATAACAAATTGAAGATTAGAAAAAAATGAATCATTTTTGTTTTTAGTTCAAAGCATTCTTAGTAGAAAGAGATAGCTTTATCGACGTAGAAAGAAAAGGACATACAGTGAACACTCGCGTGTCACTTGAGACGCGTGCGAGCGACAGTTGTTGCTTTTTCATGCCCTACTCCCCCTTTTTTTTTATTCTCCACCTCTTCACTCTCCTTCTACTTTATTTTCTCCTCCTTTCTTGGCCTTTTCTTACCCGTCTTGGCATTTTTTTCGAAGCTCAAACGACGATCCTTGCCAGGCACCGCGTTTGAAATTGAACCAAGAGCTTGTTCTCTGCCCATCGAACCGTACACTGATCGAAAAAAGCGGGGCTCGAAATCAGTAAATCGGGATCGGAGGGGGGAAAAAAATCCTGCCGCTTCAATGCCTCCGTCGAGTGATACAAAAAATAAAAGAGTTTCAATATTGAAATTGATATTTTCGGGCATCATCTTTCACATATTTTGGCATTTGCGGAATGCCAGACTTTTGCTTTGGCTTCCAAGATCGCGCATATATAACATATATGTATGTATATACATATATCGCAAAGCAGGGCAGACGAAGCTCATCCACTTAATCCACATAATGTTTAATGGTTATCCACGAAAAATTCACGTGCGCCGCGAAAAAACGCCAATGCGAATAAAGTTCGTTGCCCAAGTCTTTTGTTTCTATTTTGCGGTCTGCTTCTGCTTTTTAGCTTTGCCTTTTAGTATTATATATTTTATCTTTTGATTGATATGGTAAATTCCCTAACTGAGGTCTTTTATTAGAAGTGAATAATGGGTTTTCATAGTAGGACGTTTTTGTTAGACTTATATTGTTATATCTTTAACCAAGACATTGTTAAAGTTATAAGTCAGTTTGTGTTTTGGTGATAAATTCTCAAAAATAAAAGTAGTGCATTAAGGGTTCGTTGTTTATTTTCCGGCATCATTTTCCAGACTTTTTCCGTGAAGGAAATGTTCAAGCGCACACCCAACAGCAACAATAATAATTACAAATTATAATGCAGGTAACACGAAAAGCGAACAACCGTTATGTAAGCTCGCTCGTTTCTCATGTTGCTGCTGAATTTGCAATGTTTGCCGCTGATGTTGCTGTTGTTACTAGACTGCACTAAACGCCAACATTATCAAAATGTTGATAAACGTTTAGCAGAAAAAAAAGCGGAGGGAAATATAGGGGGAAAGTCGGGGATCTTGAAGGGGGCGATAAAGAAGGAGGAGGGTTAAGTTTCGTTAAGAACGTTGCTTTTATACTTTAATTAAAATGCAAAAAGGCCAATTGCAAATGTGTTGCTGTGTTGCTGCTGCTTCTTCCCATGGTTTCTGCCGTTGCGCAATTAAAATGCAAACACAAAAAATAGCAACTAAAAAAGCAAAGAGTGAGAGGGAGCGAGAGACAGCTGGACTAAATAGAGGGAGAGGGAGAGAGGTAGGCGCTGCACACTTAAGCATGTTTAATACAGTTTAGCCACAAGCACTTAATTACAAATGCGAATGTAAAAACTGCCAAAGGGGGTTTACCATCTAAAACTAGGGGGGAAAACGACAGAGAGAAAGACTGAAGAAGAAGAAAAGAGAAGGGGTGGGGGAGGGGGAGGGGGTGGGGGCACTCTACAAGCTCTGCAAGTGTGGAACAGAAATTGCGGAAATGCTTCGAAAGTCAAACTTCTTCTTCTTTCGGGAACGGTGGCTAATGCATTTCGAAAAGGAGGAGAAAAGGGGAGTGGGAGTTGCCCGGGAGAAAGAGGAAGCCAGAAGGCGGAAGATGGGGGCGTGGTCGGCCCCAGAAAGTGCCTCAGTTATTAGTGAAGCATTCAACAAAGTAAAACAGATTTCTGAAAGATTTTCAAGCTCAAGTGAGTAGCAAATGCACTGCGAGAATTTCCGATAAAATACAATACCATTTGTCGTATTTTTAAATTGCATTTCGAATATAAACATTTAATTGATATTATCACATATTAAATCAACAACAAGTTTTTAAGGGTATCTCAACACTACGATTTACAAAGCTATGCTTTCTTAATATGGTCACTTCATTAGGCAACTTATTAGCCAACAAAGTACAGGTCGCGGGGTGGCATTATTGCTGCTGCTATGTGGCATCCTTTAGTGGCGGTGTTCACTGTGCACATCCATCAAAGTAATGTTGATAATTGTCTGTTGTTGCTTTTGTTGTAATTTGTGCTCATAAACTGTTTAATTGCAAATTAGCAAAAGGTAGCTGCTTCAGCAACAACAATGTTGCCACATGCACATGTTGCTGCTGCTCTTGCAACAGTTGCTGCTGCTGCTGCTTCTACTTCTGCTGTTGCTGTTGCAGTTGATCTTGTTGCATGTTGGCCGGTCATAAAAGTGCAAAAAGGCGCGTAAATGTTGCAGAAAATTGCAAATATATGAGAGATGTCAGGGGGATATTGCAAAAGGGGCTTAAGAACAATAGAGATCTTGTCGTTTCTGAAAACTAAATGCACAGGGCGAAAAAAATCTATAGAATCTAAGGCATTGCAGTTTGTAAGTTTTTACTGCTTTGAAGAATGGGGTTGTTCTCTTAGAGAAATCATATTTTGTTTTGTTTTTAAATGGTAAAGTAACAAACATTTGAAAACAGTTCGTAAATATGTAGTTACGTTTTAAGTATGTGAATAAGTATACAGCAGAGCATTTACAAAATTTTAAATTCATAGAATTCTTTTATTTATGCTTTCCCCTTTTTTTTTTATATTTTTAGGCGGCAAGGACGACGATGGCGAGGACAGTCTGAAGAACGGCAGCTCGGCGAACGGCGACTCCTCGTCGCATTTGAGCCTCAGCTTGAGCAAGAAGCAGCGGAAGGCGCGTACCGCCTTCACGGACCACCAGCTGCAGACGCTGGAGAAGTCCTTCGAGCGGCAGAAGTACCTCAGCGTCCAGGATCGCATGGAGCTGGCCAACAAGCTGGAGCTGAGCGACTGCCAGGTGAAAACCTGGTACCAGAATCGCAGGTGAGCGGCTCGCTTTGTGCTTTTTATGGGGCGGAGGATGAATGGAGAGAGGGGGTGGGAAAGGGGGAAGGGGAGGGGGGAGGGGGAGGGGAAGGTGCTTTGGGGGTGCCTGAGTGGCCAGTAATCAGCGCCTTTAATGCGTTGCGCCCATTTCTTCGCGCAGTTTTCCAATAAAAATCCTCTTAATGGTTGCTTTTTCCCCTCTTTTATTTGTTTTTTTTCCTTTGCATCCATCACCTTATCGCTGTTTGTGTTTTTTTATGCTGATTGCTTAATTTGCTGCATTTTGCGCTGAGCGTCGTTAAGAAAACCAAAAAAAAAAAAAATCGCTTCTATAAATGAGCTGTCTTCTCAGCTCCTTTGCTTTTTTGCGTTTTTTTCTCAGTGCAAGTTTGTTGCCTAAGTCTTTCGTCTCGATTGCCGCCTTATTACGTTCGATCGCGTTTTATTTTCGTTTTTAATTATTGCCCAATGACTTGTCACAATTTCGAGCGCAGAATGCTTACCACAACAATTGGGAATTGTGAATTGGGAGTAGGAGTGGGGGACGAGTAGCTGAGGAGCTGAGAAACTGAGAAACTGAGGAGCAGCAGGCCAACATCTTGCGTAGCTGACGGCGCAAAACTCAACCGGATATGATGGCTGATGGCTGTTGGCCGATTTCTGATGGCTGTGTGAATTCTCCAAGGGGGAAGCGGGCTTTATTTTATTTTTAACAATTTTGTTCCTTGTATTTTATGATGTGGAATATGTGTGGCAGGTTTCTTACATCCTCTTTGCAAAAGGTTTAGGTGTAGAGCACTAAACTAGCAATGAGGAACTCAATTTCATTAAATTTAGCCCAAACTGTAACTATATTTATGATTTAGGCAGTATCTTTGTTGTGCTGTTTTTCATTTGGTTAGTTTCTTTAACAAATGGCTGGCAAAAATGCAATAAATAGTTGGAAAAAAACAAACATAATACCCTAGGCTGTCATAACCTCACCCAAAGTCAACTCATGATATCTCCCATTAGGCCAAAACACTTCACAGCTGCTGCTCTTTGCTGGCGATGAATGGGCAAAAATTGTGAAAGGAAAAAAGGAAAATAAACGACCCCGACCTGGTTCTAGTTCTAGTTTCGGTTCGAGCTCCTGGCGCCTCAAACAATTAAAGGATTTGCCAAAAAGAAGGGCGGGTCGCTGCCAATTAGGTTTAAGTTTTCGGTTTTCAGTTTTCAGCTAAGAGCACTTCCAATTTCCCTTTTTGTTGTTTTTGTTTTGTTTTTTTTTTCGGTGGGCTGGCACAAGATTAATGACAAAACAATTAAGTGCGAAATATAAATAGTCGAGGCGGAATCCTCGAAGGCACACGGCGGGATATTAGAGGATGAGAGGACGAGAGGACGAGAGGCCTCGAGTGACTCGGCAATACTGGGCCATGATTAATCGACAGGACGGGAAAAGCAGGACTCAGCCTTTGCATCCTCAAGACACTCGAGAGGGATTAAAAAATTAGGAGGAAGCGTTTAAAAAAACTCAACTACGATGGAAAATAAATATTTGAATTGAAGGAGTTTTTCGCAAGTTGAACAGTTTGCTATTTATTTAGTTAGTTAAGCTAAAAAACTCTTCACATTTATCGGTTTATAATTTTAAGTTATTAATTTTTTTTTTAATTTATCAGTTTATAAATGTGCTAATATATATTTTTTTTTCGCCATTGCAGAACCAAATGGAAGCGGCAGACTGCGGTTGGACTGGAGCTCCTTGCCGAGGCGGGCAACTACGCCGCCTTCCAGCGTTTGTACGGCGGTGCCACGCCCTATTTGAGCGCCTGGCCGTATGCAGCCGCCGCCGCCGCCCAATCGCCCCACGGCGCCCCGCCCTCAGCGATCGATATCTACTACCGACAGGCGGCGGCCGCCGCTGCCCTGCAGAAGCCCGCCATTCCCGCCTCGTACCGCATGTATCCCACGAGCATGCCGCCGGGCATGGCGCTGCCCGGGATGCCCGCTCCCCCGCCCCCCGGCGCGGCGCCCATGCTGAGCGGCTATTACGCCGCCGCGGCAGCAGCGGCCGCTTCCGCTGGCGCTCAACAGCAGCAGGCGGCGCCGCCCGCGTCCCGCTCGCCCGCCACCAGCCAGAGCGCAAATAGCGAAGCGGACTGCGAGCGGACCAGCAGCAGCAGTCGCCAGCGGTTGATCACGCCCAGTCCGCCCCTCAATCCGGGCAGTCCGCCCCACCGCGAGCGCTCCAACGAGGAGGAGAGCGAGCGGGACAGAGAGCGGGAGCGGGATAGGGAGAGGGAGAGGGATAGGGAAAGGGAGAGGGAGAGGGAGCACGAGCGGGAACGGGACGAGGAGGACGACGAGGAACTGGCCCTGGAGGTCTGAGGATCCCTCGCACAGAAATCCCTCCTCATAGCTGGATCTCACAAATTTGTCTAAACAAAAATAATAATCACGGGGTGGAGTATTCCAGATTTGTGAATTGTGGTGGAAGTCCTTTGGCAAAAAAACCTTCGTTCGAGTTTTGTGAAAATAGTAAAGTGACATTTTCAAAAGCATACAGCTGATTTCAAAAGAAAAGCAGTAATTAAACATATTTTTCATTATTATTATATGCAGGAATTATGGTTTGTAAAGCAAAAAAAACAAAATAAAAACATTGTCAAAGCTTAACAAATTCGTAACGTTTTAAGATAAAATTCCAAAAAGGGCTATTTTGAAGCCAGCTGTAAGTTGAATTTGCTGCCACTAAATGTTTGATTAGCCCTAATTTATCTACCAAAATTGTATAAAAATCTCAATAAATTACCATAGAATTATACAAGAAGTAACAGTATTAGAACCTCCCCATGTTCATCTGTCTCCAAGAATAACCCCCAGTAGATGTGAAGAAAAACTTATACATACATACATATATCAATAATATATAAACCTTTTTTTTCTATATTTAATTGAAACCTAGCCTAGAGGAAATTTTGTAAATTTTTGTAAATGATTTTTGTACATACGCAGCAGACCAACAACAAAAGCAACACGATTTTTTTCCAAACAATATTTTTTTTACAATTTTTTTTTTGTGCCTAGTCTTAAGACGTCTATTGTGTGTAGTAATAATAAAGTGAAGAAAAAGAGAAAAAAGAGCAATCGAGAACTGGCCTTTGTCTTGCGCGAATCTGAAGGACTCGCTGGCTGAAGGACCTTTCTGCGATCCTGAGCCTAATGCGAGCTGACACACGAGCCGAAAAGTCGCAGTCGCAGTCAAAATCTCAAAATCTCAAGGGTTCGAACGCAACTCGATAGGGGCACTCGAGGAACTGTTGCATTTTGGCATTTTGGCCTGGGAAGCGGCCACTAAACTGCTCACTTAGAAATTGTTAACATTTGCCAAGGGTCCTGGTCGCCGTCGTCGTTGTCGTCGTCGTCCTGCCAAGAAGTGAGCCCCACCCCACCGCCAATCGCAATTCCGCTTCCGATTCCGCAAAGACGCCGCTCACCGCTCGCCGTTCGCCGTTTGCCGCTCGAGTGTCGAAACGCTTCTAATTGACTCGCCGGAACGGGAACGGGAACGGAAAGGGAACCACCCTGCATGGAAATCAGTACTCCAGAGATGGCAGCGTGACCCGCTCAAGGGTTAATGTCTAGCTTGCTGGGTTAAGGCGAACATTTTAAAAAAGGATTGGTTAAAAAACATCAGAAGGTTTTTTCGTTTGAAAAAGGGAATAGTAAACGTAGGTAATATATTAAAATAAAAAAAGGATATTATTTTTTTTTCTTTTTTTTTAGTGTCTGAATATAAAGTTTTACAGAACTTGGTTAAATATTTCCAAGCCATTGATATATATTTTATTGGAATATTTCCATTCTTATTACTTATTATTATTTATTATTCAACGTTAGAATTATTTAATACATGTGTCCACATTTGCTGGCAGCTTTCTAGAAACTCTTTTATTTTATATTAAAGCATTATAAATATACTAAAAAATCGCAGGACACGCTGCCATCTCTATTGGGTTGAAAGGAATCTACCCCGTCGCTGTTTGTTTTGCCTGTTTACATGCCGCTTGCCATTTTCGCTACTTTTATGACAATTTCAATTTCTGCACTGCGCCGCCTTGGTTAATGTTTTAATTTATGGGGTTGCGGCTAAGCGAATTCAATTTGCGCTGCCTTCGAGTGGCGCACACACACAACCCCTTATAATATCCTTGCTCCTTCCCGATCCCCGCGCGGATTCAGATTCTGATCCTGATTCTCAGCCAAGCCAAGCATCTCGCATCTCGCATCAATGTCGACTTTGGGACTCTGCGTGAAGTGGCTGCGTCGTCATCCAAGTCAAGTGTCGAAGGGTTTTGGCTTGGGTTTCGGTTTGGGTTTCGGTTTGGGTTTGAGTTTGCCTTTGGGCTTCGCCTTTGGTCGGGATTTGTGCGTAGAGCCGGCCATCAAAATGTCTGCATAACGCCTCTGTAACAAATTGATTATTCGCTGCTGCGGTTTGAATACAATTTCGTTTTTTTTTCGCATCGATTTGAAATTTTTATGAGTGGCCCGAGAGCATCGAGTGCGAGTACGAGTACAAGTACTTATAAATTTATGAGTGGCCCGTGAAATCGTCAGACCGTGCGAAAGTTTTCACTGAGAGCGCGGCCAGGACTTTTTTTTTATTTTTTTTTTGGCTAGTGGGAGGCGGCTATACATACGTATTTATTTGTGGAAATGGTGGTGGAAATTTGCATATTTTTGTTGTCATCTCACAGTTGATTGGGCAAACAAAGTGGATCCAAGAGTTTTCCACGCTAATCCCACAAATGGATTAGAAAAATTGGGTGTACAACAATATCTTTTTAAGGGATTTTAGAAGCTAAACCGATAAAGCTTATAAAAAGGTTCTTTAGATTATTATTTTAAAATATTCAATTTTTTGTTTTGTGATTTAAATAGGCATTAAGTTCCGCTATCAATAAATGTTTATGTGCTTTTTTAGTATGCAGATATTTGCTTTTAAGGGGTTAAATATTTCGCCCCATTCACCCAGAACAAAGTATTTGCAGAAATCGCAATAACATAAATTTAAATGGTCTGCAGTGCGTTACGAATTAGTGTCTTTTAAGGGTTAATGTTCTCGATACAATAACTATTGAATATATAATAATATCATGAATTTAAATAGCTCACTTTGATTTTATCACTGATTTCCATGATTGCGTCCATTGTGCGTTTCCATTTGTCGAGTTTGGCGAGTTTGTGTCTTTTGTGCATCCGAGCTGACAAAGTGCTTTCACACCGGAAGCAAATGCAATGCGTTCGCCGTCGTCCTTGGCACTGCCTCCCAACCACCCAACCATCCAGCCACGCAACCATACAACCACCCAACCACCCACTCTCCACCGAGCGACTTTCCCCAGTTAATTGACAACTTTCTGGCCAGGGTGCGCCTTGAGTTCGCCTGCTTTTTTATCCCATCCTTCAGTGCGTTCTTTGTGAGGCTAATTTGTCACAGGATGCCAGGATGATGTCAGGATGTGAGGATGCCGGGATGCCCGGGTTGAGAATAGAGGATGGAGCAGGCGATGCTACTTCATTACACAGGCGATTTGTTGCGCACAAAGCTAAGGAAAAGCTGAATGGTGTACTAGCTACACTGAGCTAAAAAGTTTCTTATAACAACTATAAATAAAAGACTAATTAGCAAACTAATTCTAAAGCCAACTGTTCAATTAACAAACTGATTTCATTATGTAGTGAAGTTTAGATTCTGTTTTAAAGCAAACAGATTTTCTTCTAATAAAAATTAAGTTTAATTTAGGTTTAAAAATAAATTTAATTTTTTTTATAGCTTTCTACTTAACGTGTGCTACTTTTCTTTACATGTACCGCGAGGGTTAAGGGAGTATGGGACTTTTGGAGCTTCCGTTATCAATAAATTTGTGCGCTTAAATGCGTGTGTTTATCGAATTAGATGGCGGAGGTCAGGAAGTCGAGAAGTCAATGGAGATTTATGGGCGCAGCGGGTCGAAGGGGGACGCGCCGCAAGGTTGTGTCAATGCCGAGAGTTATTTCTCCATCGGATCCGATGCCTTTAAATTACTCTAAATGGGCTTCGTGGCGCCAGGGATCAGAAAAATCGATTTGTCGGTCGTCGCCGCCAGTTAAACGATGCCAATTTGCCGCATTGCCCTATGGACGAGCGACGAGATCTGGGCTCTGGACCTCAAACTCAAACTGAAACCCAAACTAAAACTCAACCCGAGGCAGGCAACCAGTGGCGGCTACTGGTTTTTGAACCTGCCACTGAAAAACCGAAGCCAAGTGAAGCCGCCGGCCCAATTTGCATGCGTTCGATTTGCAATTCGCTCTGCAATTGCATTTGCGGTTTTCGGTTTTTCAATCAATTCTAACTGTGCAAACTGCAAAGGCAATCATCAGTCTGCGCATCAAATTTACGGACTCAGCGTCCACTAAACTCGCAGGATATCCTGTACGTTTTAGGGGTACAAACTTAAGAAATGTAAATCCTAAAAATCTGACAAGAATGCAGTTCTATCGAGGATGCGATTACCAACGTTTAGAGGTATTCCACTTTGGAATTGGATCAAAATTGACAAAGTTATGCAAGCAAAAAATGGAAAAATCGTTGTTGCTAAAAAATCAAGGGGGACCTCCACAAAATTTTCGAATAAATTTATTTTCTCAAATTTTAAAACATGAAAGAAAATACCTTCCACGCAAAGATAAGCCGATTTTTGGGCATTTTTTGCAAGTTTTTCCAAAAGGAAAGTGCGAAAAAACGGAAAAATCGATTTTGCAGAAAATTTTCGAAAAAATTTTTTTTTTTTGAAATGCTGTTCTGAAAAAAAATCTTATTATCAACATTTAAAGACATGACACATTGAAACCGAATCGAAATGGGAAAAGCCATGAACTCATGGCAATGAAAGTCCGTAGCCTTTGGGGAAACTCTCCTTGTTTGCTGCCAAAGCTCTGCATACCCACTACAGGGTATCTGCAGCTTCGTTCCGGCTTCGTTCACGGGGCACACGCCAATGTCAAAAGGTTCTCACAGCCGAGCAGCGATGATGATGATGCGATGATGACGGCAGAAAAGGCGATCCCATACGTGGCGATGTGATATGCCAGTAAGCCGATACCTTCCCGGGGCTCGGGTATTACTTGCTGTACTGCTGCATTTTTCTTCCTTTTTTGGGGCCAAGTGCCGTTAGCCGAGCGTGTGTGTGGTCCCAGGATAAATGTATATGCGCTCGAAAGGCGCCAAAAGTCAAGCTTTTGTTTGGCCAGGTCGAGAGTGCGGCACGTGGCAAAAAAAAAAAAAAACAAAAAAAAGGAGGAAGAAGAAAAAAGGGAGAAGTCGTAGCACCGACCGGGGTTTCTCTATTATTTGATTTACTTTATTTTTGGGGGCAACTGAAGTGTGACTAAACTGCGCCTGCGGCCATGTAAATCGTTAGTGCTGCACAAATACTAAGAGCAAGTCCTGCCGCCTGCCAGTCAGTCAGTCAGTCAGTCACTCTGGCAGAGGTCCTGAATGGAATGGACCTCAAGCTGTGCGGAAAACAAAGGCCGCGAAAAGCAAACAGTTGCCACATCGGTATCCAATTACTGAATCGACTTTGCCTCCGACTTGGACTCGAGTTGAGCCAATTTACCGGGCGCAATTGTGCCAAGTCAAGGCCCAGGAATAAAAACACACAGCACACACAACAAAAAAGGCAACAGCCGGCCCAATAAGTCGGCACGCAAAAGGGCCAAAGGCAAAAAGTGCCGCCGAGGGTTGATCGATCAGATCATCGGGGTGAAGGCACAGAGGGAAACTAAATTTAATGTAATTTTAATTTTCAATATGAGAGGCATATTATTTAATTAATTATAATATTATAATATTTAAATAGTTATAAGTACAAAAATATTTAAAGTTATTTTCGAAATATTGCAAGGAAAACTTTTCCAATTTTAGCATAATTTTATTATATGTAGGTATATTTTTGAAAGTCTGTTAAGTTTAATCTATTTTAAGACAAACAAAAAGCAATACCTTGATAGAAAAGCCCCTCCTCGATTCCCCTAAATTATGTTGGCACTCCAAAACCCCTCGATCAACCCCCGCTTGGCCTTTGTTCGCATTCGTCCTTG